GCCCCGTCGGCTGGTGCTCAGAAGGCTGACAGCTGCGCCAGGCTGAGGCGGCAGTCGATGCTGGTGTTGTCCGGGCCCGTGTAGGCCAGGCCCAGGGGCTCTAGGAAGGCCCGGCAGGCGGCCTCGCCCTCGAAGGCCAGCTCGGCCTGCAGGTAGGAGACTGGCAGCGCAGGGCGGAAGCTACGGAGACAAGAGGAGAACGTGATGAGGCGGGCGGCGGGCAGGGGAGGGCCCCACGTGCAGGGAGTGGGTGCCCCCCCCTCCGGCACCCAAAGGGTTTCCTCAGCACGTTACCTGCTGACCTCTCACCCCACCCCCCAGCCTCCCCACCTCAGGGGCTTGGGGGGGCCCGGGGTGGGGGCTGGTGACCCCAGCCCCGGTTGTGCCCCCCCGCACCCTCACTTACCTGTGCAGGGGACCGGGAAGGAGAGGGGATGGGAGGGAAGGGCCCAGCTGGCTCCTCCACTGCTCGAGGGCCTGAGCAGTCCCTCAGAAGAGGGCCTGCTGTGGCCAAGGGGGGCAGGGGCCGGGTAGAGGGAGTGACCCAAAGGCATGGGCACTGGAGGGGAATGGGACAGCAGGGGCGACTGCTTCTCTGGGGCACCCACCCCTCACTGCTTCCCCTACCCTGGGTCAAAGTGCCTCAGGAACACCCCAGGCACAGTGTCAGCCAGCACGGATTACGTACTTAAGACAATAATTTCTGGTTGCTAATAAGAGACTTCTGAGCCCTTGACATGTGCCAGGAAAGGGCTGTTCTAAATGCTGTCACATTATCTCACTGAATTCCCCCTGTAAGCTGTCACTCCACCCTTTATAGACAAACACTGAGGAAACTGCAGCTAGCTCCAAACACATGGCCACTTGGCCAGCGTCACCTAGGGAGAGAGAGGCAGAAAGCACTGGAACCAGTCCTGCCTCAAGCCCTAGCTTTGTCTTGGCCCTAGAGCTCCATGGGGACCCAGGAGAGCCTGTTGCCCTCACATCTGAGCTGGCCTCCCAGTTGCCCTGTAGGTACTTGGCTCTGGAAGGAGGGACATGTCTGCCAAGGAAAGGCAGTGCCACCCTCAGGGGTGGGAAGGCCTGGGAGCATGAGGCCAACGACCGGCCAGGGCCCCTCCCACAGGCACATTCATGGCTGGGTCCCCGACCAAGGCCAAGCTTGTAAACAAACCAGGAATAAGAACTCGCCCAGCTACAGCCCCAGAACGGCATGGAAGCTTGCAAGCTGCCCTGCCGAGGCCTGTCTGGCCACAGAGGGTGCACTTAGCGGCAGCCGGGGCTGCTTTCAGACGCCCCACTGCCTCATCACTCCCCGGTCAGGAACCAGGCCCTGTGCGTCCTGCTTCCTCCATGCTTCCTCCCCACATCCTCTTCTATTTCCACGGCCCCCGCCCTGGCTCGGCCTCTTTCTTAAGTCGTCTTGACCCGAACTGGATCCTAGAGTGCATCTCCTAACCTTCAGGTTGACTGTCCTTCCCCAGCTCCAAACCATCCCCATGGCTCCCAACCTCGGACCTACCAACCTCTGACCAGGGGTTCTCAACCTCGGAAGGACTAACATCAGGCGCTGGATGATGCTCTGCTGTGGGGCATTCTGTGTACAACAGGATGTTCAGGAGCATCCCTGGTCTCAACCTACTCAACAAGTAGCATCCCCTGGTTGTGACAATAAAAGTGATCTCCTGATATTGCCCTACATTCCCCAGGGGCATCTCACTCCCCTGAGGACCCAAGCATCAGCCCCCCCCCACACACACACACACAGTGGGCACATGGGACATCTGGTGGACAGAGGACATGCTCTTTTTAAGTATCCCCCCCGCCCCCGGTCTGGCTGGCCCCTGTGTCACGCCTGTTTCCCTAAACATTTTCTGCACTCTCGAAGGAGCTCAAGTGGAACGGGGCCCTGTCCTGTTAGACCAGAAGCTGCCAAGAGCAGGGCCATCCTACTAGTTTGTCTCTACAGAGCAGGAGCTCGGTGACAGGAGAGCCGCAAAAGAAAGGCAGGGACCTCAAGGCAGGAAGCCAAGAGCCCAGAGCAAGGAGAAAACAAACTAGAGACCAGGGTGACTTGAGCAGGAGGAAGAGAGCAGAGGGACAGAGAGTGACCCCCGGAGCACTGAGGTAGAGAACGGCCCGGAACAGGGTGGGCTGTGCGAAGGGAAGGGGGAGTGGAGGAGGGCGGAGAGTGGAAAGACGAGACGGGGAGAGAGGACCAGGACGCGAGGGAGGGCGCCCAGAGGAGACGGGGGGGATGGGAGTTGGAGGCCTGATGGCCAGGAGCACATGGGGCTGTGAGGGGAGGGCGGCGGTGGCAGGGCCGGCAGCGCAGAGAGCCGGGGGAGAGCTCAGCTTCACATACGTTTTGATCATCGCCTTGAGAGCAGCCTTGCGCTCCCGGTCTGCGAACTTGTCCACGAGGTAGCCAGACATGCAGGGCGCGTGGCAGTAGAGCCGGAAGAAGCGGTGGTAGTTGCCCAGAGCCCAGGCTGCCCTGAGCGCCAAGGCGTGGGCCACACAGGGGTCTGTCTTCAGTTCCCGCGTCAGGTATGCCAGTTCTGTGGTGATATCTGGGGTCCAAGATAAAACGGGGTCAGCAGGGCCCAACCGTGGGGCCTGGGCCGCCTCTCCCGTGGCGTGGGCCTCTCACCTCCGGAGTTCTTGGTGAAGATGTAGTACAGGATCCGGTAGGCCGTGAACTCACCCACGTTGCCGGGCAGGTTCTCAGCGTACAGCGACTTGAGCTGCGTCTGGCACTGGTTAAACTCCTCGTGGTCACCCTGGAGGGCAGGGCATGAGGGAAGGAGGAGCAGGGTGAGGTGGGAGAGGGGCCTGGGAGGAGCCTGGGAGGGCCTCGTCAGCCCACTCACCTTCTCCAAGGCGATGCGGGCATGCGTCTCGTACACCTCCACTGTGAACTCGGTGCGCACGCCTTGCACCTGGGGCAGCAGGCAGAGAGAAGTTAGGCCAGGCAGGGCGGGACCCGCCAAGGCCAGGCCTCCCAGCACCCGCCTCACCGTCAGATCTTGCCGGATGGACTTCATCTGCTCGCAGGCGAAGGCGTAGTCCTGTTTCTCCTTCCAGTGGGACTTGACCATGCACAATGACTTCTTCAAAACCTGGGAAAGGAGCTGAATTAGTGCTCGGTGTGACAGGCAGGGAGAACAAGGACACACAAAGACCTGTTACACTTCCGCTAACTTGCTGTTTTAAAACGAGGGCTACAACACCAAACACACTTGGTCACTCGCTACCAATGTTAGAAAGAACCCAAACACCCAGCCAGATGAAATGCTAGAGTGAAATGCTCCCAGGCCTCGGTTTCAGCATCAGCACACGGCGTGCATGTCCCTGGGATGCCATGTTCACCTTGTTTCTACCGTGGGCCTCCATGGAGCAGGTGGGACACAGTCACCCCACTGTCTCACAGGGCACTGCCTGGGAAGGAGGCTTCTCGCTCCCCATCTCCTAAGTAGAGATAGAGACAGAGGCTCCGAGGCCAAGTAAGTGTCCCAACAAGGCCACACGCCCTGGACTCAGGGCTCCGAAGCACAGGCTGTCTTCAGAGTGCCCACCAGCCCCACTGTCCCCAGGGGCTGCAGGCCCCTGCCTGCCACACCACCCCCTCCTGGGTAGCCTCTGCCATCCTCCCTGTGTTGGCACCTGGGGCTCGGGCACTTACGGCCACGGGGCGCACGGTGGATGCGTCGGGGGCACAGGTGAGGCGCAGGTAGTGCTTGGTGATGTCGGTGCAGGTGCCCACGATCTGCAGCTCCTGCCAGTCAGGGTCAGCCCCGCTGCTCTCTAGACTGCCCATCTGCAGCACCAGGGGCTCGAGGCGCAGGCGGCGGGAGTGTCCATGCTGGAAGCGGGCCGCCCGCTTCTGCTTCTTCAGCTCTCGCTCGGGGTCCTCGCACTCCAGCGCCGCCATCTTCTTGCGGCTGCGCTTGGTGGGAGCTAGGTCGTGCCTGGGAAGGGACGGGGGGACGGGGAGGGAGGCAAGCAGTCAGCTCTGTGCCTCTCCAAGGCCCCCCCTCCCAGTCACCTGCCCCAAGTCTCACCTCTTCCCACGCTGCGCCCTGCCTCGGCCCCGATCCATGTGGGCCCCCCGACCTCCGCGACCCTTGGGGGGCGGGTTCCTGCGACCCACAGGATGACACTCATTCCCTGAGTAGGAACTGTCGGAGTCCGAGTGGGAGTCACTGCGCAGAAGCAGTGGGAAGGTGAGGACTGAAGCGGCCCCCCCGCCCGCCAGGCCCACCCTCCACCCCGGAGCCTGCGCACCTGCGGCGGAAGTGGCGGGTCGGGGACCGGGAGGAAGAGCGGGAGCGAGAGTCCGTGCTGGAGGAGGAGCTGTTGTCCTTCATGAAGACATTGCGGTTGCCAAATTTGGCGAAGCTGCTGCCCCGGGCTCGGCCAGCACCCCCAGCCCCTGGTGTCCCTCGCTGGGACTGGGCACCCCCGCCCCGTGTCGCTGAGCCTGCCCCCCTGGGAGGGTGAAGGCTGCTAGGGGCCTCCCACCGCTTCTTCTTGGGGCTCTCAGCCACAGGCTCCCGAGTCAGCCTGAGGATATAGCAGGGCAGGGCGTCACCAACCTGGCGCCCCCACCGCCCCCAACATCTGCCAGCCCGCCCCAGGGACACACGAGCTCAGGCCGGAAGGGCACTTACCCAGGCGACTCAGCTAATACGGTGCAGAAATGGGAAGCAAACCCAGGGTTTCCTGTGTCTACAGGCTGCTCTTAGCCACTGAGTAACACACAGCTGCCAGCCTCCACGGCCCTCACCCCACCCCAGGGTTCCAACCCTTGGCAAGTCCTGGCCTCCTGCCCCCAGGGCCCAACTCTCCTGCTCACTTCTCTCAGGCCCCCGGGCACGCGAGGACGCAGGTCACCACTCCAGCACCCTGGCACCCCCCTGCGCAGAGTGGCCCTCGCCCCGCAGGCCCCGCCCGCACTCACCCCGGCAGGGGCTCCCGGCTCCAGTCGATGGTGTAGGCCGAGCCGTCCTGGAGCCGTGCCTGCAGCACTTCCTTGAGCAGCTTCTCCGTGCGGTCCTTGTCCTCCTCCGACTCGCAGGCTGTGAAGCAGCGCTCCACGTACTCCTTCATGTCCTGCGGCCAGTCGTCGGGCTTCCCGGACAGGCCCCCCCTGGGGGCAGAGGCAGAGACTCAGCTGGGGAGCAGCCCACACCCCAGCCAAGATGTTGCCACGACTGCTCACTGCGCTGACACACGTGCCACACACGACCCAAGTGCTTTCTTTGCCCTCTCATTCCACGCCCCCAGTACCCCAGGGGAGGAGACCCCTCTCCGTTGTGGAGGAGCAGACTGACGCTCAGGGCGCAGAACCGGCCCGTGGACTGTACACAGACGCTGAGTACAGGGGCCGGGGGCCGGGGCAAGGGCACGGCCATCACCTGTGGTTCTGGGCTTTCTCCGGGTTGGGCTGGGGGCCGAAGCTGCTGTGCTGGCCCTCCGTGGCGGAGGTGAAGCTCTGGCTGGTGACAGCAAAGGGCCGCTTCTGAATGTTGAACTTGAGACCACCAGTGCCCGGGGCTGCTGTGAGGACAGGAAGAGCTGGGGTTAGGCCATCCTGGGCCCACCTGGGGCTGCCCTACCCCCAAGAATGGGAGACGCCGAGCTCCAGAGCAGCAGCCGCACCCAAAGCCTTGGGCTGATCACACACCCAGAAATAAGGACCAGCGGCCCCATGTGCCTCATGTCCCCGAGTTCTGTGAGGTCCCACCCCCACACCCTCTCTTCTCTCCGCAGTCCAACGCCAACTTACGCTTCATGCGGTTCCAGAGCTGTTGGCCCTTCTTGGGCTTAGCAGCCTCAGCGTAGGTGTGCGGCCCGTAGGCCTGGCCCGAGGCGGGCCCTGCCTGGCTGTGCTGGGTGGCTGGGGCTGTCCCAGGCTGCGGGCCACTGTTCAGAGTATGAGCCCCATGCGGGGGGTTGGAGGGCTGAGGGGGCTGGGCTGCTGGCAGCTGCTGAGGGGGGGCCTGGTAGGACATGCTTTCATCCATGCCGGGGACCGGGGGCTGTCGGAGGAAGCGGGCACTGAGGGCGAGAGCACAGTCCTCCGCGCTCACACTCTACTCTCACAGTGCTAACATACTCAGCTCTCAGCTCAGGTGACCCTGAGGTGCAGTGTCACCCTCGGCCCTCAGAGTGACCCTGTGGAGTATGGACTTTTATTAACCACTCTTCACAGCTGGGAAGACTCAGGCTCAGACACTGAGCTGCTCGCCCACGGCCCCCAGCTGCTGAGTGGCAGCAGCCAACGTTTAAACACTGGAGTCCGCCTCCCAGTGAGAGCCACCCCGCCAGCACACCCACGCCAGCGGCCACTGTCTGAGCACGTATCACGTGCCAGTCAAGACACACACGCCGTCAGACACAATCACAGGAGCCCCTAACACAGCGATTACCCTTCTCGCTTGACAGAGCCGGCTGAAAGCCAGAGCCCACGCAGAGCTGGGATTCCAACCCAGACCTGCCTCCCTGCACGAGCTCCACCACGCCTCCAAGACGCACGTGAAATGCAAGCCCAGACTGTGTGTGTGCGCGCGTGTACATACGTGTGCATGCGTGCTAGAGGGCAGACAGAGACAGGCTGCCACACTACAAATCCTTCCCCACCGTCACCCCAACACCTCAGCCCCTGGCCTTGCCCAAGCCGTAAACCCGTCCCGGTTTCAAAACTATGCTTTGTCCTCATCCTTCTCAGATGAGAAGTTGCTTGGCAGATTAAAAAAAAGGTAGGAGGGGCAGCTTAAATACCGCAGGCATCACCACTGCTAGCCCCCTCAAAACACTACAGCCCCTGCTGGAACTCAACACAGAGACAGCTGGGGCGTTACCTGGTTCAGAGTCCCTTGGTGCTGGGGTGCCGATGGCTGCTGGGGTGTGGCTGAGCCGTAGGAGCCGGCTATCCCGTACTGGGAGGGGGAGCCGTAGCTCTGGTACATGCTCTGCCAAAGGCACAGGAAGGAGGGTTAGGGGCAGGCCCAATTCCTGCCGTAAGGTCTAGGCCTGCCCCCTTCTCCTGCCACTCAGGAGCCATACACAACTCGTGACTCTCCACTCATCTCTCACCCCTCTTTCTCCCTCCACCGCATAAATGCATCAAATTATCTTATATTAAAAAAATTAGTAAATAAAATGAAAACTGCTATCAATTCCATACCCCACTTCCACTAGTTTTTAGAAGTTTCTCTCTATTCAACAAATATCTACTGAGTGCCAACTCTTCTATGCACTACAATAGAACAAAATATAAAAGACTAAACCTGTGCTCTAACAAGTTTGCACTCAAAACCTAGGCTCAGTCGTAGACAAACACATAACACATCCAGCGGCAAGTAAAAGAAGGCCAAATAAAGACAGAGACAACAGGGTGAGCGGGGGACAGCCCTGTACATGACTAAGTTTGCCAGAGGAAAGGGCTCTCTGAAGGTGACATCTGGGCAGCCCTCCAGGAGGCGGGGACACAGGGCGCCGTGGGAACAGGGGAAGAGGAGAGCTGCAGCAGAGCAGAGCAGAGCGTGAGTGGACCTGGTGTGTGCAGAGATGGAGGAGGTCTCTGTGGCAACTGTCAGCGAGCATGTGGCGAAAGGTGGCCAGAACCAGGTAACGTGGGACTTGGTGGGCCACAGGCAGGACCAGGGATTTATCTCGTGGGTAATGAGCTAGTGGAGGGCTTTTCAGCGGTTGTCACTGCTGACTTCAACCCACTAACTACCCTGGACCCATCCTGACTGAGCCCAGCTCCTCACCCACCCATCCCTGCCGGGCTGGGCACCTACCATGGGGTAGTAGTAGCTGTAAGGGTAGGCGTAGTTGTACTGCTGGTACCACTGGTAGTACTGCTGCTGCTGCAGGGCCGAGGCTTCTGCCTGTGACACGTACTGTGGGAAGAGAGGCCCACACGCCATCAGCATTGGCAGCAGGAACCCACGGGCCCCACAGCCCCCACAAGGGCAGGCTGACTTTCTGGTGGTCAACTGCCGGAGTGGAACTGGGTCCACATCTCTCCACAGAGAGCCACTGCCTCTACCTCGGACTCTGGGCACTGAGGGCACGCCTCGCTCTTCAGGTTAGGTTCCCAGGGGCAAGGACCACATGGTACCTCGTACTCTTCAAGGAAACGGACCCGCTTCCCCTACCCGAAAGCTCCTACAATCTCTTCAGAGCACTGTGTCCAGTGATACAAAGACACCACATGTGTGCCTCCCCCAGCAGCCCCCCGTGCAGCGTGCCCAGGCCCGTGCGGCCCTCTCACTTGTGCGCTGGTCACCGGCCCATTGCTGCTGGCCTTGGCAGAGCTGCCAGCAGCTCCTGCTTTGCTGATGCTGGCCAGGGCCTGGCGGGCCTTCTCCCACTCTGGGTTCTCGTGCATGGGCGTCTCCATGCCGTTCTCTCTGCCTGCCCCCGCCACCATGCTGTACTGGGAGGACCTGCAGAGAGAGGACGTCGAGTCAGTCTGCTCTCCCCACTGCACACAGTGGGCAAGACGGAGGCAGGGAAATACCAGAGCTCAAATCCCGGATCTCCCTCTCTCCATCTATAAGAGCCTAGATTTCCTAATCTATGGTAATGCTGACAATTAGTTTCTGCTTCAGTTTTCTGAGGGATAAATGAGACTACCTACCTAAGGTACTTTTCCAGATGCCTGATACACAGCTGTTAAAAATCAAACAGGGGGCCGGCCCCGTGGCGTAGCGGTTAAGTGCGCGCGCTCCGCTGCTGGCAGCCCGGGTTCGGATCCCGAGCGCGCACCGAGAGGCACCACTTGTCAAGCCATGCTGTGGCGGCATCCCATATAAAGTGGAGGAAGACGGGCATGGACGTTAGCCCAGGGCCAGTCTTCCTCAGCAAAAAGAGGAAGATTGGCATGGATATTAGCTCAGGGCTGATTTTCCTCAATCAGTCAATAAAAATCAAACAAATGAAAAAATTACCAGTGTCCACAGAAGTAAACATGGAACCTGGCGCCTAAGAGGTGTAAATGTTTTATGAATCAAAGAATTCCGTTTGACACCACCCCAGCCAGCAGGTAATTATCACAATGCGGTGGAAAAAACAAGCAATTAACAAAAAGATAAATGCCTGAGTATTAAGTGTTGGAGACCGCCTCCAATCATAGTTCATGAATGAATCATCACAATCTTGTGAAACAAGCACTGCACTGTGAAATATGAAAGTTCAGAGAGGTGAAGACCCAACCCTCTTCACACTATGACCACATGCTTCCTTTTATGCTTGAGGCCAGAGGAGGGCGTCATCCCCACTGCTGCCCACAGGGACTGCTGCATCACTTCCCCCACGCTGTTGTGGGAGGGCCATCCCAGAGGACAACACTGGCTCTCACGTCCTCTCGCCCTCCCCTCCGGCTTCTGTCCCACTAGCCCCACTAACCAATCTGTGCTCCGTTGATCACCCACGTTGGCCGCCATCTGGACCTTGGGGTGTAAGGGGTGGACCTCGGGAGCCAGACTGCTTTTTCACTGTCTACGAGAAAAAGAAAAGAGTTAGGGAGACTCAAGAAGGAGCAAGAGACATGTCACAAAGACAGGAAGAGAAGTGGATGGACTCAGAGGAGCGAGGCAGAAAGGGGGAGTCTGAGAAAGAAGGAGCCACTGGGGTAAAGAATCTGAAGAGAATTCTGGGTGTCAATTAAAAGGGCTACAGTAAGAGGGCAAGACCTTGGCCTCCCTGCAGTGCTCTAGGTGGGAAATGAAGGATCTGAAACACATAGGAGGAAGGGGAAGGTGGTTCAAGGGAAACTCTGAGACAGATAAGAGGCAGGTCCAGAGGGTAGGCTGGGGGGACCTCAGTCAAGGGGTAAGGAGTCCAAGAGGAATTCCAGAGAGGAAGCAGAAGAAAGAGGACGCCCTGATGAGCAAAGCCTGAGTGAACTCCTAAGGCTGGCGGACGCTGAAAGGTTTCTGAGGGGAACTCTGTAAAGAGGGAAGGGTTTGAGGGAGCCTTGAGAGAAGAGAATACCAGAGAACACAAAAAGAAATCAGAGGAAAAGGGGATTTCTATAAGTTACTCCTGGAAACAGGGAGAAGTTGAGGGTGCCCAAGGGGAACCCCGCAGTGAAGAAATGGGTTCTTGGAAAGCTTTTAAGAGACTAATTACAGGAAGGTCCCCTAAGGGCACAGAAAAACCCTACATGGCAGGTTCCTAAAAGGAGGGGTAGGCCCAGGAAGGAGAAGAGGCAGCCCGCGATTGGGGGTCTGGAAAGTAAGCTTCAGGGATGCCTAAAGAGATCCAGAACATCTTTAGGAGGTTGAGACGGGGGTGGAGAGGACTGCAAGAAAGTGAAGGGGTGTCTTGGAGGCAAAGACTGGGGGGCCTGAACTTGGGGGGATAACTGAGAAGTATGGGTGGGCTCCAAGGCGAGTCTCACTGGAGAACCTGAAAATCCTAGAAGTGAGGGAGCAGGAACAGAAGTCTGGAGCTGGGAACAGCCCTAGAAAAGAAAGGCCTTAAAGAGTAAACAAGAGGACGGGGGAGGGTAGGAAATAGGGGAGGAAGGCCTGCAGTGAGCGTCCTGGCGAGTCTGAAGGGTGGAGGCAGGAACCGGACGCGAGGCCGGGGAGGCGAGGGGCACCTGGCCGCCCCGCAGGCCCGGAGAAGGCAGAGCAGGGCGCCGGCTGGAGGAAGAGCCCACCTCGGCCCCCGCGACTGGCTCCGGAGCCACCGCCCCGGGGAAAAAGCCGGCGCAGGAGCCGCCCGTCGCCCGGGACAACGCCGCCCCGCGGCTGGAATCGCGCGGTCAATGGGTGTTGAGGGCGGGGGCGCGCGGGCCCCGGAATTCCGAGGGCGGGGTCGGCAGCCGGGCCCACGGCGCAGG